AGGAGTTTCTGCTGAGGAGACAGAGGCCCCTTTAGTTGCAGTCGTTGTATTATCCCCGCTGTATTTTAAAATAATTTCCGCTCCAAGCCCCCATCACACAAGTTTAAAAAGCATTTTGATCATTCATTTTTGCAGAACGCCCCCATAGGCCTAGAGGCAGACATCCTAAATGGCAATGAGCGATAACAGTTTAAAATATATGGTAACGTGTGTGCAAAGAGTGCTTCTTGCAAGGATAAGAGTGTAATCCTGAGCCTGGCAGATACCAGGGAATGGCAGAGTGCCAACCAATCTGTCCTTTTCACACACGCCAGTGAGAGAGATTACACTCTTATCCCTGTGAAGAGTACTGTTTTCACATGTGTTAACATGTTATAAATCACCCCATTTAGCTTGACACTTTTCAGTCGATGTGCCTGTAAAATTTATGCGATTGCCAAAGTCTTTTTTTTAAACGTGCTGTTTGTTGTCCAGAACAGTGAGACAAAGCAGCACAAGTGCACGACTGACATACCAGCTCTGAAGAACTTCACAACTTGTCTTTGTTTGCTCTTTTCCTCTTCTAAATATTGCTTTGGCTCAACTCCTAGCACTCTCAGTCAATCCACTTTACAGTATATCTTGTGATGTCTCGCTATATCAAATGCAAGAATTATCATTACAGATGTGGAACTCTCAGTCTGGTTTTCTTACCCTTCAGCATATCGATCGATGGGATTCTGCATGTGTCAGACATTCGTTTGACCAAAATAAAGCTTTAAAACACTGGCCATGTTTATGTGCAATGGACACTGCATGTGTAGATGAAAGCATTTACACTTTATATTTTTAATGGGCCAGTGTTGTTTTCCAAGGCCACTCTTCTATCCAAATATCGTTTCAACTGAAAACCTGAAGGAATGGATGAGTACCAGCAGCACTGTTTGTGGTTGGAACAGCAGGAAATGGCAAAACCAAGTAAAACTGCAAATGTCCTTCAGAACGACCCTATCAGATCTGATGGGTTAGATTTCTTCACACTGTTGGGTCTTTAATCTGACTTTATCTCTTCCAATGGGGACTCAATCTGACCCCATTCATCATTGGTTATCTCTGGCAGGTGAATAGGTTACACACAAGACTGATAAGAAGGTTATTTGCGTTGAAGCTTAAATCTATTTAGGCCTGTGACTAATGCTGGATCTTTACTGATATATATTCATTTCAAATGAATATCAATCCTGAATGAGCAAACACAGGACAACAGCTGATTACCAAGATGTGTCTGTGACTTCTGAAGACAAATGTAAAATTTCTACATGAGGCTTTTACCTGGGATCGAGGTGCTGAATTGAATTTGTAACCTAAAGTGAGTTAGCTATTCGCTTTGGGTGCAGCAGTGTGTGGAGACACTTCAACTTGCCTGATCAATTGTGAACTGCGAGATGGTGAAAAACACTCAGTGGCTGATGTCTATCCGATGCAATTGAATGATGTGGCACTGTGCGAAGACAGTCCACTAACCATGACTATGAATGCTAGTCATTCAGGTGAGAGGCAGAAATGCTGCTGACAGTAGAGGTGGAATGGTACCCATGCATCAGTCCAAAGAAAGATATCATCAGAAAACAAAAGGTCCAGTGCTCCATCTGCACAGGTGTCAACCTAGCTCAGTTCGTGGTACTCTCGCCTTTTGACATCGGAAACTGACACTCCCATGATGAGATGTTAAGCGCTCCGAGACACTATATGAATGCAAGTTGCTAAACAGCGGTCTGGTCTGCCAGTTCAGGTGGACGTTAAAGATCCCACTGTACTATTTGATAGAAGGGAGTTTCTCACAGTGTCCTGGTCAGCAATCCCCAAATAAAATTAGTCACACAATTCATTATTAATAATATTTCCTTGCATTTGATATAGTGCCTTATCATATCTTCGAGACATCTCAAGCACTTCACAGAATATACTGTAAAGTGAATTGACTGTATATTTTGTGGGCAAAATATTAGCTGTTTGTGAGACATTGCTGTGTAGAAATTGTCTGCCCCTACAAACTAGACTTTACAATAAATTCTGCAAAGCACTTTTAGATATTCTCCCAACATGAAAGGTGCTATATCAAATGCAAAGATTATTATTGTATTACATTGAGCACACTGTATAACATGAGCACAGCATTCTTTCACCAGATTAACAGGAATGCTCAGTGCTTGTACAGCCAGAGAATGTAGTCAGTGTTCTCTCGCGTGGCTGCAAAGCTATAAACGTTTTGTTACCGGTAAAACAACAGGGGGTTGATCAGAGACAGAACGCTCACAGACAGAGAAAAACTCTGCGGAAGGAAAGGATTTCTCTTAACAAGGATGAACTGTAACATTTAAAAACACACAGACACACGTGGCTAGATTTTCTGTAAAATCTCACAGTATTTGCCTCATATCAGCACATTGCTGGAAGTACAGTGTTTCACGTGGACTCAGTCTGAATCCTACCACCTCTCCCCCACCACAGCAAAGAAGAGAGAAAGAGGCATTTGAAATCTATTTCATTTTAAATTTGATTTAATGCCCCTCGCTTTTCTGAACCCCCGTTTTTCACGGTTTGTTCACCCTGTCAATCACAAAGACTGACAGGGTGGGTTGCTCAGATGTCCAAGTGCTTCTTACCACTATCCTCCCTTCACCACTCAATAGTCTGCCATGGAGAGAGGAGCAGGATATTTTGCTTCCTTGCAAATGACAAGACCTCTAAGAAGTAAGCATTCGTCTAGCAAAAAAAACAAAAGTCTCTGAATTCTTCTCCACTTCTATTCCCTTCTCCACTGATTCTGCCAATTACTTGCATGCTCTTTTTAACTCTCTTTCAGCCCTTCAAATCTTTTTCATTGTTATTTTGTTTTTTTCCAGGTTTCTGCCTGCCTCCAAGACAGAGGATTAAAATTATAGGAAAGAGGTTGAGGCCAAGCTTGTAATTGAAACCAGTGGCTGGTGCTTGCAGAGGATGTTGTGGTCCATCAGAATCTACAGTCTATTGACTGGATTCTTCTTAAACCTAAGAGACATACTTGTGATTAGCTTGTTATTCTGAATGAACTATTTTATCCCAATATCTACTTTCATAAGACAGTAAGTAGTAAGCTGGAATAGACTGGATCTTCTGCAGCTTTATGTGCGAGTGTAAATGGGTATTTCTGTATGTGTGCACAAATGAATGTATATTCGTGTATGTGTGCATGTTTGTACATTGATGTATGTGTACATGTGTGTTTCTATGTATGCTTATGTGCGGGTGTGTATATTTATGTATGTGTGCGTGCATTTATTTATGCGTGTGCACAATGCCTGTGTATATATAATATATGAATAAATGAAAGGATTATTATACAATATATATGTGCGTATATCTGTGTGTAACTTAACTTCTTTGGGTTGCAAATCAAAGAAACCCAGTTATTTTATTTTATCATTTCACAGCTGTAGATGATTAAAAATGACCATAGAAGCAGCCTGGTGCTGCACTAGTCGAACTCTCGCCTTCTAGCTAGAGCTTTGCAAGCTTCAATCTCAGTTTCAAACTGACCTTTGCTAAATGCTTGCCCCGCCCCTCAAAAAATAAGCTTTGTGAGTTCTCCACTGCTGGTTACTGGCAGAATTCCCCATTAGCGATTGTCAGACCTATCAGCTCATCACCAATAAATGCAAGTTGTACATTTCTCACCTCAACATATCCATTAAAGTTGGTCTGCTCAGTTTTATTTCATCATGTTAAGTTGATCGAGGATAATGCAGAAGTAATATTTTCAGCGTTTTTGAGAATGGTTTAGCATTCGATCTGTCAATTTCACATCAGAGCAGAAAATATGAAGAATTAGATCATTTTTGTTCTTGAAATCACATCCCAAGGAAATTTATTAGAAAGACCTTTAGCATACGACTTGGACAGTGATAAATTGCTGAGGTCGTTGTCTAGCTGTGAAAGATCCATGACTCAATTACTCATTCTTTCTCATCAGGAGAGTTAATGTCCTCTGTGGGTGATGGCTGGCTTTAAACCTGTAATGTCCATTGCTGGTTGAGTGCAGGTTATCAGAATGACCTCAGGAATAGTGTATTGTTTCATTCAAAGTACCAGTAAATGCTGGTAAATATTTTCACTGGTGTTTTCATTCTACCCAGAACTTCTCAGCTGGTTGTACAACAACAGCTTTCATTTATACAGCATCCTTCACACATCTCAGGAATGCTTCAGTGTAGGTACAAGCATAACATAAGCATGGGACAACATAGGTATAAGGAAGAGCTTCCTTACTATCCTTCAGTTAGACAGGCATTTCTGACAAGAAGACATCAATGACACACCACTCACCAGCCAACCAAAATACACTTGCAGTAAGGTGAAGTAAGAGGGTACGAATTCCCCTACTCTTTCTTCCTAGATTGAAGGTCCAACTAATTATCGACCCAACCTGTTCTCTTGTGATGCACGAGGTTTTGAGTGAAGAGGAAATCCTGGGATTGGAACTCATTGAATTGGAAAATTAACACATTAAATGAAGATGATGTTCCTTTAAAAGCACTTCACATAACTCACATCAAGTTTTGATATGAAGTAAACTTGGACAAGAATGAAAGGAAAGAAGTAGAATTTAATTAAGGAAGGAAAAAGAGAATGAAAAAAGAAAGATAGAAAAAAACTGGAATTTGTAGTAGGTTAGTGAGTGTTTCGAGTCCACTGGTCGCATCATGGTTGCTCATTAAGTCTATCTTGGGTTAAAGGCATCTAATATATTGTACTGGCAAATGGTTTGTTCCACAGTTATATCAGGCCTTATTCCACAAACAAAAGCATTCTCAAATTAAGTGGGTTTACAGTATTCCACAGCTCAGCATCCATCAAACTACAGAACATGCCAGCTACCTGGTACCTTAGCAATGGGAACATTCAGGCACCGATTCATTCCTTAATGCACTCCACTGTGTTTGGTTAACAGGAATGAATAAACAAAGGAAATGCTCCCTTACCACAGTGATGTTTTGTCTAAGAAGCTTCCAGCTCAAAAGATAAGCAACCAACCAATGCTCAACGTGAGTCTGTCTGAGCTGAAGGCCTGAAACATCAATTGGAGATTAATTTGAATGGATCTTTAGGAAGTAAGGCAAATGAAAACAAAACAATTATGTAGTTGATATGTATTAGTGCTATAGGTACTGTATATACTACAATACCACTTAAACATCAGACATTGGTTACCTGTCAATTTGTCATTTCTTTCACTCTTCTTTGGCTACAGCAATACTCGTGAGGCACTCTCACCAAATAAGCTGACCTACAGATTAATACACAGAGAAAAGAATGTCATTAATTAAATTTACACTGCAAACATCTGTACTGTTACAGCATAAACCTTTCAGTCAATGCAGTGGTGTTTAAAACATAAAATTGGTAACTTCCTGGTAAAATAGGATAGTAGACAATGTTGAGAATTGTTTAGCTGTAATTATTGATAGGTTTGGTAACTCAAGATTTGCCTCAGACATAGTCGCAGGATTTTTTTTTTTGCAGATCCTAAAATGCCTGTTTCTGCTTTGGGTGTGCCAAACAGCCTGGATCTTTCTTGTGTTCTGTTCAGAACAGCTGGGTTGGTTTTACCAGGAACTGAATGTGCCCAAGAACTCATTTAGCCTGGCTCAGCCAGCAGCACTCTCACCTCTACGTTAGGAAATTGTGTATTCAAGCTCCAAGATGAAACCTGAGCTCATAGTCTCGACTGACAATGCAGTACTAGGGCACTGCACTGTCAGAGGTACTGTCTTTTGGGTTACAAGTTAAAAATTAGGTCCTTTTCTGCCTGTTTAGATGGACATTAAAGATCCTATGACACCATTCAAAAAAGGTTTCCCCAGTGTCCTGGCCAAACTCCTCCAGATAAATTGGTCATTCGGTTCATAGCTGTTTGTCCACACCTTGCTGGCCCAAACAGCTGCAAAGATGGTCACTACACTTGATAGCAATGTCCGGTGAAGCGCTTTGATATTTTGCAATGAGATGAGGTGCTATAAAATTGAAAAGTCCTTTCTTTAATTTGCCTTCAGCAGCAGCCTGATAAAACACAAGTCGAGAATGAGGATTCATTATCAGAGGAATGCTTGCATTCCAATACATTTTACATTTCCATCCACCAGAATTAACACAGAGCATTCATGAAGACACTGCAGTCACATTTGTGCATTTGCCCAGCGCACAACCCCCAAGTGCAGCTTCTATGTCTGTATTTTTCTTCCTCCTGGGTGAAATTAATTCACGCCATGAAGTGTGAATTTAATCCTCAGGGGTCTAGTAAATTAGCTTGTGTGGCTTGTCAGGAGAGGACTAGTAAGTAATGCACTTTGATAAATCCTCAGGCCTTTCCTTGACCATAACCAGTCTCACGATATATGTGTGTATGTTGTGTATGTGTGTGTGTTATGAAGGAGAATAAACTCCGGTGGGAAATGATCCACATGAGACTGGCTTGTTTCACTACACTGCTTTCATTATGCGAGAATGCCAATTCAGTGCACTCACACATCATCTGTCTAGCTGTGCTCTCTCGACTGCCACTCACCCACCACTCCTCCGGAGCTGTGGAAAATTAGACTCGCTGTCAGAAAAAGGCTCTCACACACAAAAAAAATGTTTCCAGCCCTGCATTTAATCTTCACATCTCCAGTTTCATTCCCACTTCTGTAAATCTGTCCATGAAATGAGCCTTGAACATGAGATGGGAAGATAAAAAAAGACACCTTTTAGATTTTCTATTTCCAGACACGGGCAAGATTATCGTTTCTCATCATTATCAATTTCTTCCAGGGAGGTGGGGGGGGGGGGGGGGTTGGTGGTGTGGGGAGAGAGATTCAGGAGGAAAGTGGCGTATCCTCAGAGCTGAACTGGCTTAAAGGTGATGTGCTTGGCAATGCAATGTCCGAATCAACTCAATCTTCTGTGGTGGTCTTGGTAGTCCAGTTCCGGGTCCGCAGTATCCCAGGGCACTGCTGATGACAGCACAGTCAGCCTGGCTCATCAGCAGGACTTGGAGAAGCAGCCAGGTCACTGGGATTAGGGGCTTTTCCCACTCAGCTCCTGTTAACTCTTTAGAGCCAGTGGAAAAAACACAACTCGTATCTTTCGAGTGGCACAATACAGGTTGGTGTCCCTGAGGTGCTTTATCAGTAGAGAATTAAAATTTCAGCCTTTGATATGGTCATCGGCGCTATCGATATTTCCCACATTGTTCATCAGTGCAATTAACAAAGCCAGACGATAACTACCTGTGGGTATGACCACCCCACGGATTTCCCAATGGTCAGGCAGGCAGCTGCCATTAGACTTGACCTAGCATCACAGTGCTAGCTTGTGAGAGACTAACTTAACCCAATAAAACAATCTCGGTTACATTGCTATCCTGTCCACCAGTAATCCAATGCCATATTCCACATCTGACAGTAGCTGTGTGGCAGCTTTGAGGGCAACCATTGTGACAAGAGATGAGGAAGGAAAGGAGTAGAAATCACATGTGCACTCATCATTTGTTATGGACTGCCTTGCCAAACACATTGATCAGCAATGTGATAATTAGGACCGTGATATTTATCACATGTTGCAATTTTTACCTCTAGAGGCCATCGGGTCATAACGATAGGGAAGCGTGTGGGTTGAACTTATAGATAATCTTTGTGTGTTATTTTTACAGCACAGGATGTAATAAATCTGTTTAAAATGAGCCCATCTCTTCAAACAAACGAGGCCATGCCAGATTGTACAAGGAAGTACAGTAAGTTCCCAACAGATGTATTTCTCTACAGCTCCAGAGACCAGTGGGATGTAAAAGAATGTGTACATTTTTGTCATCCCTTCTCCACTCTGGGGATCAAAGGAGGAGTTTTGCTTTCATAAATCCACAGCAAACAGATTTACAGGCACCAGGAGTGCTGTACAAGATCATTTATCTGATCTGTGACTGACCAGTCACCATCTCCCAGGTATAATTAGGGTCCTGGGAACTGATTAAAATGGTGGATTTCTTCTTTCAAATAATCAGGGATATTCATCTATTTGTCTATTCCTCCCTTCTAACTCCATTCTAACCGCTTGTTATCAGTCCCTTTGCTCTATCCCTACAGCTGGTGGCTGAGCCTTTAGTCATTATGCCCCTGTTCTGTGGAACTCTCCCCAAATCCCTCCACCTTGTGCCTTCTCTCCCCACCTCCAAACCCTCTTAAAAATTGTATCTACTTGATCATGCCTTTGAACAGCACCACCAAATCTCCCCTTCCATCTGATAGTCATTTACCCTTTCTCCCTGTTCTGTTTTAGGCTAGATATTTTGGGCAGTCAGCCATGTGTCTTACACATGCGGAAACCTATTACCATGCATAAGAGTATCCAAACTAAACTGAGAATTCCATGCATCCCACCTACACAAGGAAATTCCAGAGATTGTCGGAATGGAATGCGCACTCTTTCCCTGGAGGGACATATCCTGCTTACCTAATTCCAGAGAGGATTATATGCAGGTTGTCAGGAGCCAAGGATTGGGGATCCCAGAGTGTGCACTGGGGATTGTGGAGTCCATCCAGCTAAAACCGCAGAGCTTGCCATCGATAGCGCTCTCTGGCCAGGCTTATTCAGCACCAGCTGCTTAATCCCGGTCCTCATCTGGGGTGCCTAGGCAAATGGACGTGCCTGTTGTGAAGCAGTGTGCATTAGGCTGGACAGATCAAAAAGATAAGAATCATAGAAATTGCAGCAAAGGCCATTTGGTCTATGGAGCCTCCACTGTACTCTTACCTCAAATTCATTTTATAATATTGAAAGTGGAGTCCCTTCGCGTTGTGGTTAGCGCGCTCACCTCACAAGTGAGAGGACCCAGGTTCGATTACAGGACAGATCGTAACCTAGGCAAGTTTCTTTACTCCACATGCCTCTGTTTACCTAGCAGTAAGTAGGAACCTGGTTGTTAGTCAGTTGGCTTATTGTTTTTCAGGGGTAATAGCCCTCAAAAAATCCACGACTTTTTGTGGGACACTGCTGTGTGCAATTAGCTGCCACGTTTTGCCCACAAAATACACAATCACTCCACTTTACAATATATTCTGTAAAGGGCTTTGAGACGTTTTAATGACGAGGATTTGGTAAAAGAAAAGAAGTTTCACTGCAATTCTAGGATGTCTCCTGACTTTAGAGATAATTTTTAATGAAAAAATACCTCTTAGATTCAAGTAAATATAGTAATTGTCTTGTATTGTTGACTCAATCTCTGGTCTGGCTGAGATCGTTGATCTTGGTCGGGACAGAAGCTGAGCTACAACTAGCTTACAATAGCAGTACAGCTCCCTTCACATGTGGTAGTGTTTTGGAGCACCTCAGTGACCCTGGGCTAAGAAGGAGGCAGGAATTCAGCCAACGAACCACATTCTAATCGTATCCGATGACACTGCTGCAAGATGCTCACATGCAGATGTCAAATGAGAACAGAATTCCATTCATCTGTAACATTAACCACTCTGGACGAACAGCCTGCTGTCACTGGTGCTCCAGTCACTTTAATAAATGCAAATTGCTGCTATTGTATTTAGACCATTGTAGCTAAACATCTGTCCCGGCCAAGATCCGTGCTCTCGCCGCAGACCAGAGAATGAGTCAAAAATGTGTGAGCCTGGCGCAGTGGTAGCCCTCTCACCTGTGAGTCAGAAGGTTGTGGGTTGAAGCCCTACGTTGGGACTTGAAAGCACATCGTCTAAGCCGACACTCGAATGCAGTGATGAGGGGGTGTTGCATTATCGGAGGTGCCTTCCGCCTGTTCAGGTGGATGACAAAGATCCGATGGAACTATTCAAAAAGAGAAGGGAGTTTCTCCCAGTGTCAAATTGGTGACTGACTCCATGGCTGTTTGTGAGACAATGCTGTGTACAATTGGCTGCCACGTTTCACTCACAAAATACAGTCAATCCACTTTACAGTATAGCCTGGGAAGTGCTTTGAGAAGACTCAACAGTGTAATAAAGCACAATATCAAATGCAAGGATTATTATGATCTAAAAGTTGTCCCTTGGGTAGTGGCTGATAGAGTATCTGTTGCCCAATGATCTGTGCACCAGGAGGCTTGCCCATCTCCAGGAGAGTGAGAGGGTGTTGAGAAAAATTTGGTGCGTGAAAAATTATTTAGAAACAAAGCTGCAGATGCTATCAGAAGTTAACTACCTTTTATCTGCATAGCAGGCCCTAACAGGCACGAGCCGTAAAATAAAGTGGCTGAACTGATCTAATCTACTGAGTACTAAATTTAGT